TGGAAGGGGTGACAACGACGGTCTATACTAACCATTGCAGCTAGAAGTACTTGAACACGCAACCGACCCTGTCACAACGTCAAGTTCGGTGGGTGGATTTCATGGAAACCCACTTCAACCACGACATTGTGTACAAGCCTGGGTTGCGTAACAAGGCTGGCGCACTTAGTAGACCGCCGAACCTCGCCTCCCTCCAAGTGGAAGGGATGAACCATCTCCTCAAAGGCCTCTTTCAGCAGGCTACAACACTGACCCAGAGATTCCAGCAGCAGATAGACGCAAACTCCTTCTATGGGACCAAGGGCTAAGAAGAGTACTAAGAAGCTGTGGGTACCTAACTATTCTCCCTTGAAGCAGCTACTGCAAGAGGAATATCACGACATTGTGCTAGCTGGACACTTCGGTAGCAACAAGACCCTAACAGGTGTCGCAAAATATTACTACTGACCGAACATGGCGACAGATGTCCACGAGTTCGTTACATCTTGCAACACGTGCCAGCGAATGAAGAGCAGTAAGCAGAACAAGCTTGGCCTCCTCCAACCACTGCCCGTTCATGAACAGCCTTAGCATACAGTGAGCTTGAAATTCATCACAGGACTCTTGCGTACGGTAGCAGGACAAATTCTCCAAAATGGGCCACTTCATCGCTACGCACGCGAACATCACTACCGAAGAAATAGCTCGCATGTTCTTCCACCGAGTCGCTTACCTCCATGGGATCCCCCGGACTTTTATTTCTGAATTCTAACAGAGATCCGAAGTTCACCAGCACGTTTTGGAATGAACTCATGCAACTCCTTGGAACCCGTCTCGCGATGTCATCCGCCTACCATCCACAGACTGATGGGCAGACACAACGACTGAACTAGATCCTGGAACAGTTGCTGAGGGTTTTCTGCAAGGACGAAACAAGCAAGTGGGACCAGCAGTTATCTCTACTGGAATTCTCCTACAACAACGCTACCCACTCTGCTATGGGACAGACACCGTTCTTCCTTGCTATGGACGGCATCCCCTCATTCCACAACAGCCTCTTGTTCCTGCCATGCATCAACGAGCACACGACTTCGTCACTGCCATGCATCAACTCTGGGATGCTACGTAGAAGCGCCCCCAGAAGGTGCAAACCTCCCAGAAAGGACAAGCGGATAAGAGCCAAAGGGACCATCAGATACAGATTGGAGATTCTGCTCTATTGGACACTAGGAACCTTGACCTTAGCCACATCCCTTCTAAGCTTCGGCCTCGGTTCTGTGAACCCTTCATCGTTGAGGCACAAGTTACTCCTATAACGTTCTGCCTTAAACTTTCGACAACATGGAGGATTCACAATGCCTTCCATGTGCAACTCCTAGACCCTTACAAGGACCTGAATCACCTCTACTCAGGACGACAGCTTCCGCCGCCTACTCCTATCATCGTCAACGAAGAACCTGAGTATGAGATAAAGACTTTACGTGCTCATCGACGTCGACGTCATGGCCACATCGAGTTTGCCATCCGTTGGAAGGGCTATGACCCATCAGAGGACAGTTGGGTTAAGGAATCCGACATGGGAAACGCTACACGTGCTCTCCGACAGTACTTACTCAAGCAAGGCATTACAGATACCACCCGACTTTGAGGGAGGGAAGTGTGAGAGCGGTATAGGTTTCCTAGGAGAAAGGAGTATTTCTATATTTTATGGGAAACTGTTGACTACATAGAATACTCTTTTTAATCACTCGGATTATTTTATCCAAAGTGGTTACTTGAATGATTCTCGGTTATCATAAGTGTATGTGTTATCTAGATAAACTGTTGCAGGCATCGAATGTTCACCGTATTTCGGCAAATCCTCTAGTGCTTCTAGAAGAGTTGCTTCTAGAGGGAAATGGTTCCTCATTGGAACATTCACGTTTTAGCTAGACTCGCGCCTCGCTCGGAGCACCTCGCGAATGCTCGCCTATAAATTGTGTTGTTCCTCGGGATTGTCATTCAAACATTCATTCTCTACTTTACATTCTCTTCCGCACTATGCATGTCGCATTCGATCCTGTGACAGCGAGCACGAGAAGGACGGCGAGACCAGAAGTGGGAGGGAGGCATCGGATCAGGAGACACTGGAGGAGACACAAGGGAGTCTACACACAGTGGACACACGTACACTAGGCTAGACACGGTAATAAGGTCCAGTCACACTAGAGTCATCAGGATACATGGCATACAAAGCAGAGCGAATCTAATCCATATCCATCTCAAAGACCAGCACAAGGTGACGTACCAGGCTGTTCCGGTCTAGGAGGTCCGGCACGCGCCCGAAACGGAGATGGAAGAGGTTGTCGAGGCGGCGGTAGCAGTGAGCGGCAGTGTGACCGGGACGGTCACACATGGTGCCGCGACGGGGGTCGCCCTAAAGCTGGAACTGGTAGGTCACCGCACTGGAGTCGGCACCCGAAGCCGAGTTGCGCGAGCTGCCACTGCGGCCGACGCTACCAAAGCCGCCAGGCCACCACGGCGGCGGGGGTCCCCACGGCTGCTGCTGCTGCTACTGCCGCTGGGGCTACTGCTACTACTGCTGCTGCTTCTGCTGCTGCGCCGGGGCATGAGCCCCGGCCCCCTCGTCCGTACCACCGGCACTTGCACCACCTCCGCCACCTCCACCACCCCCGCCACCCCTCCCTCCGTCACGCCCCCCCCTGGGGCGGCGGCCCTCACCCTGACGAGACTGCGCTGAGGCTGCCGTGGCGGTCTTAGCAGCAGGGGCTATCTTAGCGACAGCGGCAAAGACGTCAGAGTAAGTGCACTGGGAGGGAGCACAGCCCTGGAAGATAGGGACCAGCGCAGTACCGCTAGATTGAGCGATAGTGCGCTGGCGGGTCTCTATCACGGGCACGGTGGTGACAAAGTCAGTAAGGGTGAGGTCAGCGGGGTGGAGAGTAAGGAAGTGGTCGCGGGCAGTGGCGAGGCGGTCGAGAAGGCGCGTAGCAAAGAAATAGAGGGTAGCGCCGAGGGGGGGAGGCAATACAATGAGTTGGGCCTCAGTGCTAGCTGTGCTGTAGCAAGTCTTGAGAGCGTGCAGGTGAGTGGCAAGATCAGCGATAATGGGAAAGGACGCAAGATCAAGGAAGAGCGGGGGGGGAAGGAGACGACCAGCAGAGGTGGAGGAGGGAGTGGAATAACGCGCAATGACAGCATCTAGGTAGTCCTTCGCAGTCTCTACAGCCTGAAAGCAGGGACGCTCGGACATGGGAAGGGCGTGACTAATAGCAAGCTGCGCAACTGTGGCGCACAACTTCCAGACAGAGCGAGCGAGCTTAGCAGGCGTGGGGGCGTGAGGGAAGGCAGCAGGTGGGTTGGGGCCGGGGAGCTTACCGTCGACGTGGACGGCCAGGGATTGGCCGTCCTGGCGCTGACCCTTCAACTGACGGCAGAGGTCGGCGAGCCACGTCTCAAAGTCGACCGCCCGACCCTCCGCGTCCAGGCGGAGCACAACATCCGTCATCACTACGGCTGCATCTGCTGACGACCGCTAGAGGAGGAGGAGAAGGGGGGGCCGGCAAGGGCTGTGAAGTGTGGAGGAGAAGGGTGGAGAGCGGTGGAGAGCGGTGAAGAGCAGAGAAGCCGCGACGGCACGGCGGCATGGCGGCAAGGCGGCACAGCGGCACGGCGTCACGGCGGCACAGTTGCACAGCGGCACGGCGAGCTGGGGCGGTGCGGATTGGCAAGCAGAGTCCGGCGGCGGGCCGGCGGCACGCAGGGAGCCGATGGCGGGTCGGCGAGCAAGGGCAGACGGGCCGAGACCGGCCTGAGCTGGGGGGCCGGCGGGAGCAGGGGCAGGCAAGTTGGGGCCGGCGAGCTAGGGCCAGCAAGCTGGGGCCTGCATGAGGTGGAGTCGGTGAGCGAGGGCCGGCGAGCTAGGGCCGGTGAGCTGTGGGGGCCACGTGGCGAGGAAAAGGGCTCGCGTGGAGAGCGTAGGGCCAGTGGCGAGCTAGGGGCCAGCGAGCTAGCTAGGGGCCAGCAGGCGAGCTAGGGGCCAGCGGGTGAGCTAGGGGCCAGCAGGCGAGCTAGGGGCCAACAGAGAGCTAGGGGCCAGCGGCGCGCGAAGGGCCAGCGGCGCGCGAATGGCCAGCGGCGAGCTAGGGGCCAGCGGCGATGGGCTAGGAGCCAGCGCGGCGGGCTAGGGGCCAGCACGGCAAGCTAAGGGACTGGCGCGATGCGCCGACGCGACAGGGCGCACTACAGTAGGCTAGGGCGGAAGCGCGGGTGGGTGGGATCTACCTGCTCTAATATCATGTTAGAATTACAAGGTGAACTCAAACAAGGCATACAAGGGGGCTATATGGTTGGGATTTGTAGTCTCAAAGAGCATGTGCCCATCTAGCCTACAACTGCTACATATACAACATATGTATAAGTTGATAGGCTTTCCTTGGGGAAGGTAGATATATGGTGTCTAACTCTTTTGAGGACATCCCTTCTTATCCTAGTGGTTAGGACTGGTGACATTACATGATATCAGAGCGATCCGGGTTCAATTTCTGGTGTGCGCGCTGTCCCAGTGGGGGGGAGTGTCGTGGCACTGGGATAGCCCTGTCGAATCCCCTCTCTCTCTAAGGAGGGTACTAGGGAGGCTTTACCTGGGGAAGGTGGATATATGGAGCCTAACTCTCCTGAGGACACCCCTTCTTGTCCCAGTGGTTAGGACTGGTGACTTTATGACATGAACAACCTTCAACAGAAACTGCAGATAAAATCCATGGCGGCCTTAGGATTGCCATTTGATGTCTTCTCAACCTTGGGTGTCGACAAAAGAGCTCTTCACTTTAGTCCAGTGCCTTTCATCACAGTAAAGAGGAACAGCTGCTAAAACCACGTCATCTCTTATTATTCTTGGAGTAATTTATAGAATTGGTGGTCAATGAATTTAACTTAGACTGGTAAGAAGAGATCAGATGCATGATATCGTACGCTGCTTGGAACCTTGCAAAAGATGAGTTGATATAGAATAAACAGTTGTGCTTGTGCCTACTTGATTTTGCTTCCACCTTGTCAAACCATGCTTCTACCTTGCAACAACTATGCTTCAAGCCTGTCTAAACATGGGTCTGCCATGTGAAGCTTCTCCCATCTTATTCTGTCTTGACATGCTTTGGCCAATGGGGCTTGTTTACCATTGACAAAACAATAAGAAGAGTCGGAATGATTGTTCCGGTGTAGTACATGCCACTGTAGGCCGAGTATGCCCCTGATAGAGTCATGACCTGCACATATTCCAGCCAGAGCGAGCACACCCAAACAAATCAGAGTCATCTCGCAGACGGGAGCAGGCAGCACAAGGCGTAGGTAAGACTGACAATCACTACAACAGGGTGGCTTGTTTGAAAGCCTGTGAGATGATAGCAGAATATGCAGACTTACGCAGAAGGCGCTGGCCATGTAGCTGGACACAACGATGCCATAGAGGGAGTGCAGCACTGCCACAATGCTGTGGGCGATGGTACCCTTGGGTATACCGCTGGTGAGCTGGTAGATGGCTGCTAGAGGCAGGGAAGTGAAGGATGTGAGAGACAGAATAAATTCCGGAGAGATGGGAATCGCTGCAAATAAGTGTATGAGCTTGCGAAGAGAAAAATATTGCCAGGCTGTACACGGAATTTATATTTCTCTACATGATTTCCAGCTGTATTTTGATTTTGTATGTTTACAGAACACGCACCTTTAGAGCTGGCAACAAGAAGCGCCCAGTGAGCAAAGGCAATGAAGTCGCCCCAATTCAGGCCCTGCAAGTGACACCACAGGAAGGGATAACGAAGAGGAAGAGTGGTGAGAGCCAGGTAGGGATAACCACAAGGAGGAAAAGAGGCACAGGTGAAACATTCGAGACGGCGCTGTCACGTCACTCACATGGGAGACGGCCCTGACAAACATGGTGGCGAGCATGCGAGACAGGCAATTATCATGGGAGGTAGAGTAAGGGTAGTCACTAGCATGGGAGATAGGGATCACTCACATGGGAGACGGCGCTGACGAACATGGTGGCGAGCATGTGGAAGAAGTTGGCCTTCCTGCCAGGGGGGACCATGCGGTCATACACATCTGGTCAGGGATCAATGGGTGGCCAGGGGTCAGATCAGGGGGGTGACCGTGAAGAGAGAGCGAGCAGCAGTCAAGGATGAAGCATGGTGAGAAGAAACTGGCCTTCCTAAAAGGTGGCACCATGCACTCGCACACATGTGACTGGGGATTAGCGAGTTGACAGGGAATAGAGAGCCGGCAGATTCTCATGATGCAGAACGAGTGAAGTGGCAAGAGAGAGGCACGGAGTGCTGGGAGCAGATGGAGTCAGGGGAGTGAACCATGGAGGGGCTAGGAGGCTGTGGGAGATGATATCCTATGCGGTGGCAAAGCTGCAAAGGTTCAGAGAGGCCCAGAGAGATCCAAACGTTCAGAGAGGTGCAAAGAGGCAAAGAGTGGACCAGAGAGGCCCAGAGCGGTGATCACTCACAGAGTCTCAGCCACAGCCCGTAGCTGATGTTCCACGTGGTGGCGAAGTCAAAGCAGCTCTTGGGGAACTCGAACCCCAGGATGTCCGTGTTCCGAGCTCGGTTCCACCGTGCCTTGCCCTCCCCTACAGGCGCCGCACAGGTCTTATCATCCTCCGGCTTCCTCGCATTCCCATCCCAATCCCCATCCCCATCCCTATCCCCCACCCCATTCAGCCCTTTCCCTTCCGCATCACCCCCATTTTCCTTCTTCCCCCTTTCTCCGCCCTTGGAGGCCTCCCCCTTAACAGCCTCCTTCTTGGGGGCTTCCCAGCCGCTGAAACCCAACCCGCCCACCACCATGGCGGCTTCAGTGATGCTCCAGAGGATGTAGGCGCGGAAGCGCCACACGATGCAGGCCTGGTACGCGAAGAGCCAGCGCAGGTGGAAGGGGTAGGCGCGGTTCTTGAGGGGGTCGCTGATGCGCGTGAGGTCGAGGGAAGGGGACACTAGCAGGAAGACGAGCGCGGAGAGAACGCCCTGGACGAACGCGCGGAAGAAGGGCGGGATGGCGGACGGCTGCGTGAGCGTGGGGGACCAGATCTGCACTGCGAGGGGAGGGGTGAGAAAGAAGGGGAATTAACGGACGAATGGGAGGGATTGGAGAGATGGGAGCACACAGATTGGTCAGACGACCAGGAAGACTAGCGCGGAGATGAAAGGTGGGGAGGCGATGCGGGAATGAGAAATGTACCCCTTGTCGCCGGGTCCAGTCATCGTACGCCTTGAATTCGAAGAACGGGCCGGTCATGTGCAGCCCGAAGCAGAAGAGGTACCCCATCAGCTCCACCAGCGGAGGTATGGTTACCAGCGCTGCCTTTCGCCGCTCCAATCGTGAACGCTCCATCCGCTCCTCGCGCCGCCTCTGCTCCTCGGCCAGTTCTTTCCTCTCCTGCTCGTCTTTCGCCTTTGTGCCTCGGTCCTTGTCCTTGAGAAGCATGAGGCCGTCCTGGTAGTTATACGCGACGGCGGTGAGCTTTGTAGCTAGGACGGTGAGCGCGCCGGTGCAGTCGAGCACGCCCTCCATGCGGGTTTCATGAGTGCGCATGATGATGTGGCTGGCGGGGGGCGAACAATGCAAATGCACGGGAAGAGCAGACATTTAGGGGTAAGTTAAGGAAGCGTAGCGGCGAATGCGGCACATCTCCGCGTCATTGTGTAGCTCGAAGAGGTTGAGTTTGTGAAATGCACGTGACAAAGATTAGGGGGAGATGCAGCGGTGAACGGTAAGCCCGAGGAAACGTGGCAATGAACACGCCCTCCGTGAGGGTCTCTTGAGCGCATGATGATGTGGCTGGCGGCGGGCGGAAATGCCAGTGTGGAATGCACGGGGTTGGCGGTAGCCAAAGCGAAAGTTGTAAAACCAATATCATATTCGAAGAACGGGCCGGTCATGATGAAAATGGAACTTAATTTGAAAACGGACCTTGGGGGCGATCCGGAGACCAAGAAGCACAAAGAATAGAGCTCCACAAACAGCATTCTACCATCTGATCGGTTTGCGAGCGTTCCTAGGGATATCAGAACGCCGGATTGCTGCGATTTCTTCTTTAGAATACTAAAAATATATTTTACCATCCGATCAAATAGGCGAATGTTCCCAGGAGTGTGAGGACGCCGCATTGCCTCCGGAACAGGCGCATGACGGCTATGGCGTAGAGGATGCACGCGAGGAAATGCGCTTCGGCAGTCCATCCGAAGACGAACGCCGATAGAAGCAGCCCTGTTACTGTGCAGTACACGTGGCGGATTGTAGGCGAGGAGATGAATCTGTGAAGCCAAGCGATCGGCACGAAGGCGAAACTCGCTAGCAGAAAAGTCGCCCGGCGGGCGGGGAGTGCCAATGAGGTCAGCAAATGCCTGTATTGGATCCATGGCGGACCCGTCTAAAGATTGGTGCGGAAAATAAAAGGAATCCTGAAAACTTCGTTTGAAGCACGAGGCTGTTATCAAGGCGGCGGCGGAGGCGGGGGCGGTGTCAGCCATGTGGCCAGCGGCCACACCACCGCCTGTACATCGACATTGCCGCAGCTAGGCATGAGGAAACGAGTCGACTCGTCAAAAGGACGAGTCGAGTTTTTCTTTTTGGCTTCCCTGATTCGGCTCGGGTCGAGTCAAGTCAAGTCGGGCGATTCACCGTCCCCAAAATGTGAAACGACTTCGTAGAAGCTTATTTGCCTACAAATAAGGGATCGTACTGAGGCGAAATGGCAGCCCATCACTTGAGGGCGTGATGTAAGAGTGGTTCGCCGCTGCACCGACTTCGACACACGGAAATTCGGTCATAAGGCGAAGTTTTTTGGCGGAATTATAGGACAGATGTAAGTTGGTTGAGATCTAAGGGACGGTGGAAAGTACGGGTAAGCTTAGGGTTGGAAGATGTAGAAAAAAACGGATGGATGTAGCAACCAGGGAAGGGAATGTTGATGACATTCAGTTCGGCCAGATAAGTCCAGCCAAATTCAGGTCGTATTCGGCAGAATGTCGGAGGGTCAGATTTCACCGACAGTGTCGGTTACCAAAATCGGTTCGGCCCAAGATTCGGACGAAACGCGCGCGACGCGTTACACGAGTGGCCCTTTACATTTCTGCATGCTTATATGTTTTCCTGTTTTTTTCGTTTGTAACCAGTTTTTGGAGTGAAACGTTCTAGTTGAACTCTGAGCTGAACCCACTGCTCTCCCGCACTTCTCAGATCGAGTTTGGTTTTTCCGCTGCGTTCATGGACCTAGCGAATAGCCCGAGGCTATCGCCCCCCACGTCTAACACGTGAAGCTAAAAATCGGCTCGTAGGGGTTGTTCTTGGCAGGTCAAAAACGAGTTGACTCGAAATTGGCTCGAGTGGGTCAGTTTCGCTTCCGAACCGCGCGGATCTGGTGGTTAGTGTTGTCCCCCGAATAGCGCGGGCCGGTTCGTTTTCACCGCCGATCCGCGCGGGTCTGGCGTTGACAGAGCCGACCTAAATTCCCCGCCAAGGTTACTCGCTCCATCGGCTTGACTCGCTTTGAGTCTGCCTTGACTCCACTCCAACACACGCTGAACGAGTGAGGTGGCATGACATCGTGATGCACTTTTTGATGCATGCATTGATGCGATGATCCGCATTACAAGATGTGTGATCCTGCTTGCTTGACTTGCTTATACGCTTCCGTGTTTAACTAAGCTTCCAGCTCGTCAAAAGATGTGTTTTATGTCAATGTACTCTTCATGTGACCTTAGACAAAACAATGAGAAAGATGGGGATTGTAAGGAATTACTGTCAAACATAATTTAGTATGTTATTGTAGACTGTATATGTTTGTGCCTTAGAGGGTACAACAAATTAGCCTATGTTTCCTTGTACTCTCTCGTTCTAGTAATTCTTGCATTCTAACATGGTATCATGAGTAGGTTAGGTCACGTTCGCCCACCAGCGCTTCCGCCCAAGGTCCTAGCCGCCCGTTCCCCCTAGCCGGCCCGTTTCCCTTGCCAGCCCGTTCCCCCTAGCCGGCCCGCCCCTAGTCGGTCGCCAGCCCGCGCCCACACCATAGCCGGCCCTCGCGCCCGTCCAGTAGCTGCCCGCGCCCGTCCTGTAGCCGGCCCCACGCCCGTCCCGTAGCCGGCCCGCGCCGGCCCATTCTGCACGCCCGGCCTCGTCGCCCAGCTGCCCCTGACGTGCAGCCGGCCCCTTGGACTGCGCTGCACCGCACTCCACCGCACTGCACCGCCCTGCACCGCCCTGCACCGCACAGCACTGCACTGCACCACTCTGCACCGCACTGTACCGCAATGCACCGCATTGCACCACACTGTACCGCACTGCACCGCACTGCCCCACACTGCACCGCCCTGCACAGCCACGCACTGCGCTTTCCTGCACTGCACCGCTTCTGCATCGCTCCTAATGGCGGACTCTGTGCTATGCTTTGACACGGAGGGTCAGCCGATCGAGTTCGGACCTCCGCCGTCAGCACACTTGTCAGCGGCAGGACGACCACTCCTTGGCTGTCCACATTGACGGTATGCTCCCCTGGCCTGACCCCCCTACTGTGCTGCCCGCTGACCCCACGTCTGCTAATCGTGAGTCCGCTGCCGTTGCTGCCCTTGCCCGTGCAGTCTGGTTATCGCGTAACGCTGTCGCACAGCTCGCAATCAGTCATGCCCTTCCCATGTCTCAGCGTTCCCGAGGCTGTTATTGCGCGCCATTCCACCCAGTCCTCTGCCTCCGTCGGTCGCCTGATCCTGCCCCTGCTTTTTCCTGATCTCGCGTCTTTTCCCACGGTCGTTGACCTAGCCGCCTACTTGTGCACACTATACTCAACCTGGTGCTCTGTCTGCATTGAGGCCCACCTCTGCGTATTCCACCCCCCCCTCTGCGCTACCCTCTAACTGCTTGCCACCCGCCTCCCTGACCGCCTTGCTACTGGCCCGATCATTTTCTTAGCCTCCACCCCGCAGACCTCACCCTCACTGACATTGTCGACACCCTGTCTGCCATAGAGACCCGCCAGCGCTCTATCTCCCAGTCCAGCGGTACTGTGCCGGTCTCTATCTTTCAGGGCTGTGCGCCCCCTCAGCGCACTTTCTCTGACGGCTCTGTTGCTGTGGCTGAGACAGCTGCTGCAGCCCAGTTCCGTCCGGGAAAGGGCCGTCGCCCCAAGGCTGGGCTCGGCGATAGTAGTGGAGGAGGTGGTGGAGCCGGGTCGCCCACTTAGGGTGCTAACGAGGGCGCTGGGCCTGGCACCGCCGAGCAGAAGTCTCCGCAGCAGCAGCAGGTTCCACCACTGGAGCAGCAGCCACAGCAGCAGCCACAGCCGCAACCGTCACAGCAGCAACAGCAGCGGCGGCGGGTTGGTCGTCTCCCGCCCGGGTGGCCCGGCGCTGGTAGTGGCAGCGGTCGCGGTGGTCGTGCGCGCGGCGTGACGTCGGGTGGTGGTTCGGGCAACGTGCGCTGCCAATACCAGCTCCAGACCGGTCCTCTCCGTGGCTTCGTCTGCGGTAAGATCGGTCACACCCCCACCCGCTGTTTCTGTCGCTTGGATGATCTGTTTTGTCTTCGCTTCGGCCCGACGCCCGACCTCCCCGACTGGCTCAGCTTGCTCCGTCGGGGTGTTCAGATAATTGATATGGACATGGATGAGATTAGTTCTGTATTGTATGTGTTGTATTTCGATGACTCAGGTGTGATTGGTTCCGCTTACCCCGTGTTACCTTGTGTAGGTGGTCCTAGTACAGACTCCCCTGCTGCGTCAAGCGTAGGATCCCCTGCTTTGTTTAGCCTAGGCTCCTCTCTCGCGTTTTCGGCCCTTGCCGCCACTGCCGCGCTCTCCTTCACCCTTGACTTCGGTGCTTCTCGGTCCTTCTTCCGGGACTCCACTTCTCTCACGCCGCTTGCCGCTCCCGCCGTAGTTTCCTTGGCTGACCCTTCCTCAGGCTCTGTCGTAGCTCGTAGCTCTACTACCCTTCCCTGTCCGGCGGCTCCTTCGGGCTCACTTACAGGCCTGCACATCCCCTCGTTCTCTAGGAACCTAGTTGCTGTCGGCTACCTCCAGGACCTTGGCGTCACCACTACGTTCCCTGGTCACGAGCGGTACACTGTCTGTACCGAGGCCGCCAATGGTGCTCCCCTCACCACGTTCCCCCAGGACCCGGTGTCCGGCATGTTCACGCTGGACACCGCGGCCCCCCCGGTTGGGACGTCTTCCCAGGTGACTGTGTCTCCTCAGGTAGTTGCGACTTGCTTGTGTCGGTCGCTTCCTCACCCGACACTACTGTGGCACCACCGTCTAGGTCACCCTGCCCTCCCTCGTCTTCATCATATGTTTCAGCACGGTCTTGTTTTAGGTCTCCCTGGGTCGTTCCTCGCGCTCCCCTCCTCACTTGCGCCGCCGTGCACCCCCTGCGTCGAGGGCCGGCTCTGTCGTGCCCCTCACTCCTCCTCGTTCCCCGTCCATGGGCCGCGTCGTGAGCGTTACTTCCTCGTCCTTGTTGACGACTACAATCGTTACACTACCGTGTTTCCTCTGGAGCGGAAGGCCGGCGTGCCTTACGTTCTTATCCCGTTGCTTGTCTCTACGCGTGTGCACCACAGACTCCCCGTGTTGCGTCTTCACTCTGACCGAGGTGGCGAGTTCACCTCTGGTTGCCTTGGCCATTTCTGTCGTGCGAAGTGCATCACCCAGACGTTCACAGCAAAATGGGGTCGCTGAGCGACGCATCGGTTTGGTCATGGAGGTGGCTCGTACCTCCATGATCCATGCTGATGCACCCCATTTTCTGTGGCTGTTCACCATCCGCTACGCCGCTCACCAGCTTTCTCATTCGAGTCATTCTTGCATTCTAACAATTACCATTCCTTACTGGGGCTCGCCACTGTGAGTACACGTGAACCTCTTGGTCCGTAGGCTCGGCCCTTGGTTCTCACGCCAAACCAGCCCCCGTCGACCTTTTCGGCCCCAACCTGATCTCGAGTTGCCCCGAACCCACTTTGACCCCGTCACCCACGGGACTACCGTACTGAGCCCTTGACTGGTCCAACCCTCGACATTGAACCCTGGTCAACTTGCCCTATATATTGCCTAGGCCTTATTATTCATGACAAAATTGTAATCACGCTCCCCTTTAGTATTCTGTGCTGTACTTTGCGTTATAATTCATAACAGCTGGTATTAGTGTCCAACATATCTTTGTATGTTGTTATAGGTTACACAGGGTTGTACCTTAAACAGTACAACCCACTAGGTTATATTCCCTTGCATGCCATGGTTCAACTTATTCGTTAACTTTGATATGGTATCATGCGTAGGTTAGGTTCCCCCCCGCCCACTAGCGCTTCCGCCATAGGTCCTAGCCGCCCCATTGCCCTCC